AAAATACAGACCGATATCACTGACCCATTATGAATAGTGACATAAAGATCCTCAACAAAGTACTAGTGAAACAAACCCAAAAATATAAAAAGGACTATACACCATGACCACCTGGGATTTTAGCAAGAACGCAAAGTTAGTTTAGCATACACAAATCCATTAATGTAACACTCCATATTGATAGAATAAAGGACAGGTAACCACAAGATCATTTCAGTAGATGCAGAAAAGCATTTGACAAAACCTAACATTCTTTCATGATAAAAATGCTTTAGAAACTAAGAATGTAAGAAAACTTCTATGCCCTAACAAAGGACGTTTACCAAAACTCCACAGCTAACAACTGTAATGGTGAAAGACTGAAAGCTTTCCCCTCTTAAGATCAGTAACAAGACAAGGATCTCTGCTCTCACCTCTTCTGTTCAACATCCTACGGGAAGTTCTAGCCAGAGCAATTAGGCAAGAAAAAGAAATAAAGGCATCCAGATGGAAAGTAAGAAATAAAACAATTTCTATTCACACACACATGACATGATTTTGTATACAGAAAACCCTAAGTAATCAACACAGAAACAATTACAACTAATAAATGAGTTCCACAAGGTTGCAAGATACAAGATCAATATGCAAAAACCAATTGTATTTCTATACGCTAACAACAATCTGAACATGAAATTAAGAAACAATTCCATTACAATATCATCAAAAGAATAAAATGCTTAAGAATAAATTCAATAGAAGTGCAAGACGTACACTGAAAACTACAAAACACTATTGAAAGAAATTCAAGAAAAACTAAATAAATAGAAATGCATCCAGAAGACTTAATATTGTTAAAATGGCAATATTCACCAAATTGTTCTTTAGATTCAAATGCAATACTTCTCAAAATCCTGGCTGTCTTTTTTGCAAATGTTAATAAGCTGATCCTAAAATTCATGTGGAGATGCGAGGATAACCAAACACAATAACCAAATTAATCTCCAAAAAAATCTCAAAAAACAACAAACTTAGGACTCACACTTCCCAATTTCAAAATTTATTACAAACCTGATCAAGACAGTGTGGTACTGGAGTAAGTGTAGAAATATAGATCAAGGAATAGAACTGAGAACCAAGAAATAAACTTTGACATTTATGGTCAAGGTATTTTTGACAACGGTGCCAAGACAATTCAACGAGGAAAGAATAGTCTTTCCATCAAATGGTGCTGGGGTACTGGATATGCATGTACAAAAGAATGAAGTTGGACCCTACCTCCACTGTATATAAAAATTAACTCAAAATAGTTCAGAGATCTAAATGTCACAGCTAAAATCTCTAAAACTTGTAGAAGAAAACATAGGAGTAAGTCCTTGTGACCTTGCATCAGGCTATGGCTTCTTGGACACAAAAGGATACACTCCAAAAGAAAGTTAGATAAATGTGATTTCATCAAAATGAAAAATGTATGTGCTTCAAAGGACAAACGATACATTTGACTCATGACACATGCTACATCATGGATGCAACTCAAAAACATTATGCTCAGTGGAAGAAGCCAGACATGAAAGGCCACACATTGTATGGTTCCATTTATATGAAATGTCCAGAACAGGCAAATTCATAGAGGCAGAAAAGCACATGAGAGATGAGCCAGGGGCTGAGGGGGAGTGGGCAAGGAGGAGAAACTGCTAAGGAGTATGGGGTTTCTTTAGGGGTGATGAAATTGTTCTGGAATTAGAGAATGGCGATGATGCGCGACTTTGTGTAGATGCTAAAAACCACGGAATTGTACATTTTTAAAGGGTGAACTGTATATGTGAATTATATCTTAATAAAACTTTTATTTATGACAAAGTTAGGAAAGCTGGCTCCTTTGGCTGCTGCAGGAATAGTGAACTGGAGAGGGGCCTGGAGACAGGGAGCTCTGCTCAGCAGGTCAGGGAGACCCAGCAAGGGAGAGATGACCATAGTGATGATGGTCACAGCTACCATTCACTGTTGAGGGATTATAGGTCAAGCCCTGGGATGAATACTTTCTCTATATATCATATATTTAGATACATATTATCTCATTTACTCAAGAATATAGATTATCCCCATTTTACAGATGAAGAAGCTGAGGCTTAGAGAGGTTAAGTGACATGGCAATGTAGCCAGTAATGGCAGTGTCACCGTGTCATTAATACATTAGGGGTGACACAGGAGGGAATGGTTTGAGAGATGAAAATTTCCACAGCAGCATCAACAGGCAGGTCTTAGAGTGGGGCAAGGAGGAGGAGGACAGAAGCGTCCACCATGACTGGGTGTAAGGTTCTGCTGATAGAGGGGCAGTATGACTTCTAGAACCTAGACAGGGACTATAAAAGAAGGCAAAGGGGGCCGGCCCCGTGGCCGAGTGCTTAAGCTCACGCGCTCCGCTTCAGCGGCCCAGGGTTTCACCACTTCGGATCCTGGGCATGGACATGGCACTGCTCATCAGGCCACACTGAGGCGGCGTCCACATGCCACAACTAGAAGGACCCATAACTAAAATATACAACTATGTACCAGGGGGCTTTGGGGAGGAAAAGCAAAACAAACAAAAAAAAGATCGGCAAGTTGTTAGCTCGGGTGCCAATCTTAAAAAAAAATAAAAAGGAGGCAAAGGTTTTAAACAAGATGCTTTACATGTCTGCCTCCCTAATTACATTACAAACGCCTAAGAACAAGGGACCTTCAATTTGGAAGCCCTCATTCCTGTCAAGAGGAGGCGTGTGGTAAATGTTGATCTGCTGTGTCATTAGAGGCAAGTCCCTTGGCCTCTCTGCCAAGATTTCCAGCTTAGGAGGAGTTGCTCTAGATGAATCCTACACTAATGTCAAAATGTGAAAAGCAAGTTTAGGAAGCTGTGCAGCCGTTGCCTCAGAACCATCCTCAGTGCCCCCTAGTGGCCACATCTGGGAACCACGAGCAGAACCAAGGAATTGAAGACCTTCAGGCTGAGACCACAACCCACTCCCACCGTCCAAAGGCAGAGGGTCTTCTGGAAAAGTAGGTTTCAGTTCCTTCTCCCAAGGTAACAACTCCCAACCCGAGGAAATGTCCACAGCACTTACCTAGAGTCTCACACACAGCGTAGAGCCGGGCTGGCCTCTGGTCTGCACAGGCTCCTGCTAGACAGTTGCCCTGGGTGAGGCAGCCCCTCTGGGAATGTGGGGCCTGGTTATCGCTGCTGTTCTTAGGCAGAGACTGCAGAGTTCCCCAGCGCACAGTAAGTATTCAATCCCCATGAAATTAATGCCGAGAATAAGGGCCTACCTTTGTGGGTGGCCTAGGTTAGGGCCAGGGCTTAGCCTGGAGCCACAGGTAGAGGGTCATGGCTAACCCCAGGCTGGGGTGGGGCTGAGACAGTCACCAGAAAACAGGACTTTCCTCCATCCTAAAGGAAACAACTGTCCTCTGCAGCTTGAGGCCCGCCTGGTGCTACAGGATCCAGCCTCTGGGGGCTGCTCCAGTGGTGTAGCAGTTAAGTTCATGTGCTCCACTGTGGCAGCCTGGGGTTCGTGGGTTCGGATCCTGGGCACAGACCTACACACCGCTCATCAAGCCATGCTGTGGTGGCATCCCACATACAAAAAAATAGAGGAAGACTGGCATGGAATGTTAGCTCAGGGCCAATCTTCCTCACCGAACAAACGAAAAAACAAAACCAAAGAATCCAGCCTCTGTTGGCCCCTCCAGGGCACCTCCTCACTCTCCTCTGCCTCCTGCCTACCTAGAAACTCTGGGGAAGCCACTCCCAACTCTTCCAAGTGAAGCCCCACCACAGACCTCTCTGCTGCCACCCCTCTGTCGTTCAAATCAGCAACATTGGCCGCCCCATCTGCACTTGCTGCTCTGACCTTCAACTCCTTCCTGCAAATTTACAGTCACCCTTTGACTCCCAGCTCAGGCCATGGGGTCTCAGCTCAACCAGGCACCCAGGGTTGGATTAGGGGCATCTCTGTCACAGGTCTGACCACCCTGTGTATCCTCAGCTGTTTCTAATGTTTCTGCCCCCAAGCCGCCTGCTCACAACCCTGGGCACAGAGGAGCAGTCTGTGGGGTGGATGGATGGCAAGGACAGGCATTTAGGCCGTGGGAAAGTTGGAATGGAGGCCTTTAGTTTCAGCTGGGGAGGGTCACCAGATGCTTCGTACTCACTGAACTGAATGGCATTAGAACAGAGAGAGGTGGCATCTTGCGAGACCCGGGCGTGGCAGGAACCCACTAGAGTGACAGCAGGCCAGGTCTCCCCCTTTGTGGTATAACTGAGGCCAGGGGCAAAGAACACGGTTTGAGCAATCCATAGTGACCCTTCCAGCTCAGCCATTCCAGGACCTTCCAGCTGGAGAGCAGCCCTTTACCACACGTGGGAGGCCGCTGTGAAGGGGCTCCGAGGTCCCCTGCCTCCTGGTAGGCACTCCGTGTGTAATCCTCTTGAGGGTGAGCTGGACCCAGTGACTGGCATCTAATGAAGAGAATATGGCAAAAGTGACAGGAGAGCAGTTCTGAGATTAGGTTATAAAAGACCCTGACTTCTGTCTTGCACTCTCTCTCTAATGAAGCTAGCAGTGTGTGTGAGCGACTCTGTGGAAAGGTCCGTGTGGCAAGGAACTGAGAGTGGCCTCTGGGAAGCAGCCAGTGAGGAATTGAACCCTGCCACCAACCACAGGAATGACCTCGGAAGTGGATCCCCAGAGTCAGGCCTTGAGAGGCTGATACCTTGATTGCAGCCCGTGAGACCCCGAAGAAGAGGGCCCAGCTAGGCTGGACCTTGACCACTGACCCTGAGAAACTAGACACGATGTTGTGTGCAGCCACGAAGTTCTGAAGTAGTTTGTTACACGGCAATAGATAACTAATACACCACACAGGGCCACGTGGGCCATCGGAGCAAGAGGGAGAGGGCTCGGCAGGCAGCTCAGATGGGCCCTGGTCTCCCCAAGTGTAAGTGGCAAGATGCAGATGCAGCCCCCAGCAATCACTCACAGAAGTCTCTCGTTTTTGTTTATTCATTTAGGAATATACAAAAGTCTGACATGTACAGTGATCTCACCAAGGAAAAACAGAACTCTGGGGGCGCTGGGCTTCCTCCCTGGCCCCCACCCTCTCATAAAGGCACAAATATGTGAGACATGGCTTCAGAGGCCTCCTGTCCTGGCACCAGTCTGCTGCTCAGAAGATCAGGGCCCTCTGTGGGCAGGAAGAGGAGCCCTTCCTCATACCTGCACTTGGGGGTGGGGGTTAAACAAAATGAGGCCACCGGGAAGTATGCAATTCAGGCCGAAGTTGGGCCAGGGCTGGGTCCACGGCGCCAGAAAATCAGTCACTACAACCAGAACGTGGTGGCTGGATAATCCCAGAGATGGTGCATCTAAGACAGCTCTGCTCGCCAGCATGGGATCACTGCCACTCCCAATCTTGCTCTGGAGGCCAGCCAGGCTCAGATTTGAAAGACTGGCGGGGGGCGGGGGCAGACAGGAGAGCAAGCTGGAGCATCCCAGCTGCTCATCAGTGCACTCTTCAGAATGGGACTAGTCTGCCCTCTGAGTCTCCCTCTTGGCAAGAGGAACCAGTCCTGCGGTCTAGGGTGGGGTAGCTGCGAGCAGAGGTGTTTGTATGGCAAGTGGCTTCTGCCCCTCATCCCACAGGGGCAAAAAGCAAATCATCTAACCGGCCTGAGTCACGAAGGGCTGTCCTTCCCCAGTTAACAGGACTGAGTTTTTTCCTGCAATTTTGGGAAGGGAAGTAGAAAGCTTGGTTGAGAAAACCATAAAGGACCAGATGTGTTAGCCATCACCTAGAACAGGACAACTGGAAGTGAAAGAGTGTGAAATATTCACTTTTTCCTTCTTAAAAAAGACCTAACATTATAATGGTTTAACAAAATTATTATAATTTCTTTTAAATAACCCACAGACACCCATGACGCTTCGAAATTTACAGAACAAAAAAAGCACTGGAGAACTTGGTAGAAAACAATCTGCAGCTGGTTGCTCCCAGGACCTGGTCCCTGAGGGCTGGCTCAGGTCACCTCAAGGACCTCAGTCTCCGGGAGGCCAAACTTGGTCTTGTGCCTGTCGAAGAGGTTCACCAGGGCCTCCATGTACATGGCGTGGTACAGGTCGATGTCCTGCTGGGTTGGGTGCTCCAGCTTGGGGATGGTGATGGGCTCACCCACTGCAGGGATGAGGCAGACGCTTCTGGTTAGTCAATTCCCTGGGCCCACCCTCCCTGGGCGTCCACCACGCTGTTGATGGCAATGACCCTGTGCTACACGCCAACCATGTGCAGGGACTGTGCTGAGTGCGCTCCCTATCAGGTTGACCCTTTTATAGATAAGAAGATGGAGGCCAGGAGCACACAGCCCCTGCCTGAGGCCACACAGCCACTGAGCAGCAGGTGGGATCAAGACTGGCTGCCCCCACTGCCCTCAGCTGGCAGCTCCTCTGGGAGTTACGGGACCAAGTAATGGCTTTGCTTTTGCCCTGCACTGGGCAAGTCACTATGCCTCTCTGAGCCTCATCTATCACACGGGCAACCTTCCTCATGGGGCTTTGCTGAGGATTCTGTGAAAGAACATGACATGCTTTGAACAATGTAGTAAGGGTGGGAGACGGAGGTGGAGACCAACACTCAGCCATCTGTGTGCATTGTCTTCTTATCCTGCTTTATCTCCATCCCAACTCATCCTGAAGCCCTGTCAAAGACACTGCTGAAATGTCTCCCAAGTTCACACACTCCTCTCCCATCTCCATGGCCATCCCCTTGGTCCAAGACATCTGCTACCACAAAGGCTGTGGACTGGTCCTGTGTCTTCCATGGTCGCCCCTTCTAACCCACGTTCTATCCAGCAGCCAGCCCCAAGGATCATTTTAAGATGCAAATCTGAACCTCCTCTCCCCAAAAACCTCAAGCAGCTTTCCATTCTTAAGGTGAAGAGCAAACTCCTTCACAAGGCCCCCAGGACAGGGGGCCTCTCCAGCCGCACCTGTGCACGGAAATGTCCCTGCTGCCTCACAGAGATCAGACCTGCTGTGGGACTTGTGTAAAACGAGAGTCAAGACTGAGTCTGGGTCATGTGACCTAAAATGCAGGAAGTTTCTGTGTACAAGTACAAAGCAGAAGACCAGTCCTGATAATCTGAAGTGTCTACGTGAGCTTTGGCCCCTACAGTCCATGGCTTGTGACCCACACACTCCTGCGTGATCTCTAGCTCGTGAATCGTTAACACCCACACATACGCACCCCCCTCCCATAGGTAATTCTTTGGAATCCTGTGAACGGTCCCAAACAAACCCAAAACAGCACAGCTGGGGGTCAGTTTTTTGCTACCCTTCTCACAGGCCTATGCTCCACTCATGTAGGTTCCTTTCTTTCTGTTCCTCAAAAATGGACACCACCTTGCTGCCGGAGCTTCACTTTGGCTACTGTTTCTGATAAAGACTCCCTTCCTCTCCTCTTTTGCTGGGTAACCCCTATTCAGCTAACAATGTAAGAGTCACCTCCTCCCGGGGTCCACCATGGCCCTCCAGAGCCCCCTGCACATCCCCGTCACACCTGTGGGTCCTTGCTGTAAGAGGGTCTTCCCTGAGACTCTGCTCTGCAAACAGAGAACCGCTGGGTCTTGTTTGCTTGCCTAGCACAGCTCGGCTCACCGCCATGCGACGATCCCTACGCTCCCGCCCCCACCACTCCTCCCGATGGGCACGCAAACCCGTCCTCACGGTTTAGAGCATGGCCATCAGAGCCAGGCAGCCTGGCTGTGAATCCTCACTCTCCCACTAGACAGCTGTGTGGCCCCCCGAGTTCAGGGTCTGCAGGCATGGAGGCTCACCGACGGTGGTGATGGGCTTCGGGTAGGGCAGGAGCCCCCAGGTATCGGAGGAGAAGAGGCCTCGGCCATGGAAAATGCACGGGGCGAAGCCGATGTACTTCTGGAACTTCTTCTGGACCCAGCGGCCCCAGGAGCCCTCCTCAAAGATCACCTGCTTGTACACCTCGTTCTCCCCGAAGGAGTAGATAGGAACCAGGTCGGCTCTGGAAGGGAGAAGTCAGGATCCGTTACACTCCAATCACTGCCTTTGGCTCCTCCTGTCAGCCCCAGAGGCGGGGACAACAGCCAAGTTCCCCTCCCCCAGGGGAGCAGCAGAATCGGCCGGGGGATGCCAAACCACAAGTCCCCTCACTACAGATTCGGACGGGCCTCTGTCTCCATTAGAGACTGGGGAGCATGTCAGGGCTTTGGGACCACTAGGCAAAGGGCAGGGTGAGAACCCTGTTCTGGAATGCCTGTTCTCTCATCCTTCGAGCCTGCCTCTGCCAGGAAGTTCTCCTTGGTCTCTCTGAGCCGTGTCATAGCCCTCAGCACACCGTCCTGTCTCTGTCTGTCCCTCCTCACTTCGCCCACCCTGAAGGCAGGGACTCGGTCTGTTTTGATTGTGTCCCCAGGGCCTGGCACCAGGCTGGACCCTGAAAAGCAGCCTCTTCTGAAGCCTGAAGTAAGGCCCTGAGGAGACAGACAGAAGGGCTGGGTGGGGCCTAGATGGCGTGGTTAGTGCCATCTTTAACTTGCGTGTGACTGAAGGCTGCACCCTCTCCCACCCCAGCTACGTTACTGCTGGAGGTCTGTCACCCCAGGGCCCTCCTCCTGAGGTCACCCAGGGCCCAGATACGGGAGGAAAACAGTGGACTTGGAGTCCAAAGAGCTCTGCTCTGCGCTTTACAATGTGGCCCTGCCCAGGTCACTTGGCCTTAGTCAGCTTTCTCAAATGGCAAATGGGGACGTCATCACCTGCAGGGTCACCTGCTGGGGAATCAGAGGGGCCCACAGAAGTGAACGTGCTCCACCAAATGAGATGTGCTGCACAGGTGGCTACACAGAATGTGCCTCTGGTTTTCCGGAAAAGGTCACAGAAATCCAAGCTGTCCAGCTCCTCTCTGCCTGTTCTCAGTGTCACCCCTCCAGGAAGCCTTCCTTGATGTTTCCAGCCATCCTCCTTCCTGGCCTCTTGCTCTCCTAGCAGCATGACACATTTGGGCACCACGGCATGGTCCCGCATATGAGCCTGGCCTCTTAGCCCACCTGCAAGGGCCCAGGGTACAAAGGCTGCGTCTTTGCCCCACTCAGAAACCCAGGCTACACTTGGAAAAACTTGGCCTGACCCTGTGGGCTCCAACCTCCCATCCCTACAGGATGGTGAACTCCCTACCACGCCTTCCTGGGGTCTGGTCCTTGCCTCCAGGAGCTGAGGAGCTGATGCCCCGGGCCAAGCAAAGCTTTGGAGGGTTGCATGTGCATGTACAGGTGTGTGTGCGTGTCCATGCATGTGTGCGTGTGCAGGGAGGCACCTACCCATGGCGCAGGGCCAGTTTCACAAAGCCCTTGCGGTGGCGCAGGGTGACCGCGTTCTTGCCGGGCATGGAGCTCAGGGACTCGGCCGCGCCCCCTACAACGATGATGATGGCATTGCCACTCCCATTCTTTGAAAGCAAGTAGTCTATTGTGTCCTGGTTCACAGGGCAGATGCCTGGAGGGGAGGGGGACACACAGTCAGGGCTGCCCACGGACGCACTCCCCACCCCCTGCACACAGTCAAGTACAGACAGAGCGAGCCCTGGCTTGAGCCCGGAGCTAACCCAGCCACTGAGTTGAAAGGCCCTGCATCAGCTGTTCCTCTTCCTGAGCCTCGGCTTCCCTATAACATGGGGATAATGATACCAGGTTGTTTAGGGAACTCATTCATTTGGAAAACATTCCCTGAGCTCCTAACCCTGCCAGGCTGGTGCCAGGTGCTGGGAATCCCAGTGAATCAGGCCGTGGGGATCACAGATGGGTGGATAACGACAGAGCCAAGGACAAGGATCAGGTTGTGCAGAGGGCAGCACAGGGGCTGGAGGCACCCAGAAACAGGTGAGAGGCGGCTGCCTGGGAAAGACGTTATCCAAGTTGAAGCCGGCAGACCATAGAACAGCTCTTCTGCTCAGCCCTGCCCACTGCACCTGGAGCAGGCTGCATCCCAGCACAGGACCAGCTGCGGGGCACGGTATATCGGCTTCCCAGCCTCTCTATCACCTGGCCCAATGGAGAGGCTCAGGCCTCGACCAGGGCGCCCAGCAGGGGTAGGCAGAGGTGGATGCTCACCTCCAGACATGAGGTACTCCCTCAGCACTGGCATCCGGAAGTTGCCGGCCAGCGTGGCCAGGTAGGGCCTTATGCCAGGGAACTTCTTGCTCACTTCCGTGGCCTCTGTGCTGAAGTTGCAGAAGGCACCGAGGCCCATGATGCCGTGGGGGTGGTAGCCAAAGATGTAGTTCCTGGTGGTGAGCAGGTTGTGCGTCTTCACCAGCTGCAGGCAAAAGCTCGGGTCAGAGGAAACGGGCCAGGAGAGGGGTCCTGGGGCACACCCAGAGGGTAGGGGAGGGACTGGGTGTGCCACGGCCCCTGGAGGACTGGAGAGACTCTCCACACCAAACCTCAGACTCTCCTCCCTGAGGCCACAGTGCCGGACACTCAGCGGTCACCGCTTGGAGAGAGGAAGGGAAACTTTCTCACTCGCTCCCCTTATTTCTCCAGCTAAACACACCAGGTCATCTTATCCACGCTCTGCCAGCCTCCTGCCTCCCCTGCCTCCAGGCCCATCCTCCTCACCACAGCCAGAGAGACTATTCTACAACCCAAACCCAACCCCCATCACTCTCAGATAAGGAGGGATGTCCAGCCCTCTTTATCGGGGTAAAGTCCAAGTCCCTTAGTTTGGCCAGAGAAGGGACAGTGCAGCTGGCCTGGATGGAAACTTCCTTCCAGGCAGCCAGGCTCAGCCTGGACTCTGATGCAGGAAGGACAAGGACAAGCAACAGTCACAGTGGGGGCAGGGAGGCAGCTGCACAGCTGGGCCAGCTGACCTGCGCTACTATCAACAGGGCTGTCCTGGGATGCTCTGAATGACGATCGGCTTGTTCGGGGCCCACCCCCTGCCCCGGCCTGCAGCTCAAGGGGCGGGTGGGTGGTACAAAGTTGCCCTAAGTTCTGGACAAGGAGAGCCACCCACCCAGCATTACAGGGAACCCGATGGGGGTGAGGGTGCTGAGGGGGATGCAGAGCAAGGGTATTTTGTTCAGAAAACATCACTTTTTTTTTATTAGAAAAATAACGAATAATCAGAGAACGTAAAAAATATGGGAAGGTAAAAAAAAACCCAAAGCACCAGTCAGATCTCTATCCAGATGAACCACTGATGGGTTGAGTCTTTTTTGCACTCAAATAGACACATGCTTTTTTTAAAAAATCATGAAATTGAGGTGCTGGGTTGCTACCACTTCTATGTAATTTTCTACCAAGCACATGATACCTATTTTTCCCTATCAACCTCCCTCAGCAACATGTCTCCTTGCGGCTGTCATTCTCTCGCACAGCTACGCCACACGTCACAGAATTGTCATCAAACTCTGATTGATGGACCTTTAAAAAGCTTCCAGAATGTCCCTCAGAAATAATCAATCCCTAAATACCTTATTTTTGTCCACATATCTGATTGTTTTCTCGAGACAAACTTGTAGAAATACAATTCCTGGGTCAAAGGGAATGAACATTTTGGTCTGGTGGGCTACCTGGCCTCTAGAGAGGTGACACTATGACATTCCTGCCTGCCGGGTTTGAAGGTGCCCACTTCCATGCTCCGGTGCCAGCTGGAGGCAGAGCCACGGGCCATTGGCAGAGTATCAAGAGCTTGGGTTTTCCATGACTCCAGATTTGGGAATCTCCTGGCTGAGGGAGGGACCTTGTGCTCTGTTTTGGGGGAGGGGAGTGCCAGTGGGTGGCTTTGGGGAAACTGAAATCTGAATCTTCAGGTGACGGAGGCCCGAGGGGGATGGAAGCAGGGGGGCTGGCACCAGCCCCAGCTCTGTAAGTGCCAGTGCGTGTAAGTGTGAGCAAGACCCTGAGTTTTACCCCCCGTTGCTTGGGACAGTCTACTCTTTCTCCCACTTTGCCTTTGGCAAGCAGATTAAAGCTGCTCAAACACGTGCCCAATTCCTGGCGGCCTAGATCATGGCTAGTGGGGAGGGGCGGCGAGGGGGCCCTGAGGGAGCCCAGCTGTCCACCAGCTTTGCAAGGCGCTTGCTCTGAGGGTCTGCCTCCTGAAGCGCAGGTCTGCCCAGCACATGAGCTCTCAGTAAAGCTGGGGTGAAAAAGCACCTTGCGCCAGCTCCCAGGGAAAGGCAGGCCTTGAGGCACGAGCTGAGACACCAGTACCAGACTGGGAACCTGCCCCTGAGCTGAAGGCTGGGCCTGCAAGCCCAAAGCACAGAACTAGCTGGAGAGCCCCGATCGCGGCCATTCCTTTGATTACGAGGTGGAGACTGAGGCTTAGAGAAAGGAGTCGCTGCTTCCCGGGAGGTCACAGCACATCCCCTCCCATCTCTAGATGAGGGCGCTCACCTACGCTTGTCCCTGGGCCTGGGTTGTAGACGTGTCACCTGGTGGAACCCTAGCTGGCTCTTTAAATCATTCCGTCCCTCCGCCAAGTCTCTATGTGGCAGGACATCTGGTTAATGAGGAGCCTTGGGGCACAGTGCAGGTTAACGGCCCTCGGTGGGCAACCCAGAAGAATGTGGGCATCTGACACAGCTTTAGTCTTGTCTTCAGTCCACACTCCCCTCGCCCCAGGGCTGGACAGGGTGTCCGTTCTGGAGGGGGGAGGAGGGACACTGCTGATGACGGCTCTGCTGACATGCCTACTTTCATGTCCCCTGTCTTTCCATGGCAAAGTCTCAACCCAAGGGGGTGCCCAGGCCAGGCCTGCTGGCTAACACGAGCCTGCGACACATTCCTGGCAAGTCACTCCTCACACCCCGCCTCCTAGGGCAGGACAGTGTTCAGATAGACGTGTCCCACTCTGGCACCATAAAGAGGAAGAAGCTCAGGCCCAGAGAAGAGCAGAGACTTGCCTATGCTTCCACAGCAGGGCACAGCGGCAGAGGACTGCAGGAGAGAGAACACGGGCCCTGAAGCAGACAGCCCCAGGTTCTATACCAGACCTGCTACTGACTTGCTCTGTGACCTGACGACAGTCTCTCCTCTCTGGGCCCCAAGAGGCTCACCTGTGAAGCGAGGCAGATGGGCAGAGAGAGGATTCTAAGCTCAGAGAGTCTTTCCTAGTCCCCTCTCCAAAGATCCTACCTATACCTCAGGGAGAGGTGACCCAGCACAGCCCACTCCTCTTCCAGCCAGCCAGTGGTCCTGGTGGCTGATGCTAACACATGAGCCCCACCTCTGCTGGGAGAAGGGACGCCCTCTGGGTCAGCTGAGCTGCTCTGGTGGCAAAGAGCAAACAGCTTCACCAAGAAGGGAGTGGGGAGGGCTGGGGGGGTGGCGACAGCTGGAGGCTCTTATGACCCAACCACTGGCAAGGGGCTGGGAAAAGGGGGTGGGGGACAGGGGGTCATATACAAAGCCACAGAGCGTCAGCCCTGACGTCAGGTCACCAAGGCCAAACCCTCCCTGAACAGAAGGGGAGACTGAGAGCCCTAAGGGGCAGGGGCTGGGCTGCGGTCCCCAGCAGGCAAGAGCAGAGCCCACACGGGCTCAGTGCCCTGGGCCTGCCGCAGGCCCAGCTTGGCTTTGGTCCCAGTGCCCAGGAGCCCTCAGAGGGCCAGCTCTCATGTGCCCTACGGCCACTACTCTCAGCTGCCTTCTGGGAACAGAGGTGTGATAAGGGACACGGGCTTTTGTTTTGGTTCTTTTGGAATGGCGCCTGCCTGTCACAGGTCTGACCAATGGTCACCAGGTCATCCTGTTCTGGATAGAGGACGCCACTGGCCTTAAGGAAGCTTCCTGAGGGGCAGGTCACTGAACATGGGGGCTTGGCCCTGGAGGTAAGGGCCCCAGCAGAGAGACCAGAGTCCATAACCCCTCAGACTCAACCATAATTTACCACTTTTTATCACAGGAACAGCTCCACTTTGCAGACAAGGCAGGTGAGGCTCGGTGAGCTTCAGAAGTGTGCCTGTGGTCCCATGGGCAGAAGGGGACCAAGTCTAGCAGGATCCTCTAGGTGGTGAGCCCACCTGAGAGCAGAGCCCAGGACTGACTCTTCTGGGTCCCCCTGCCCAGCAGAGCTTAGCTATGGAGGTCAGTGAATGGAGTGACAGAGCAGGAACTCAACCTCGGTCTCCAATAGCAGAGCAGAGAGGGGGAGACCCAGGGCGTGGGACTCAATCCAGTGGGGAAATCAGGGACCAAATCTCTCCCAGAGAAACAGGCAGTAGGAATGCAGTGGGAAAGAACCTGAGGCTCAGATTCAGGAAGCCCAGATTCTAGTACTAACACGGGCAGGGACTCACTGGGCAACCTGGACCAGTCCTTGCTCCTCTCTGGGACTCAGTTTCCTCACCTCCAAAATGAGAGAGCTGGGTCTTATGATGCAACATCCTCCCAGCACCAAGAGCCTTGCATTCCTTGCAGCTGGAGAGACGGGATCAGGAAAAGGGAGGAACAGGAACCCTGACCCCAAAGGTCCTGGGAAAACTGGGCTCGGGCTGGGGTGGGCAGAGGGAGCCAGCCCTAGGGCCGTCCTCACAATACTGAGTGCAGGGGAGGAATGTAGGGTTACCCGGCCACCTCCCCCAGGCAGCACGCCAGGATGTCTCAGTCGCTGACTCACAACAGCAAACATACACCACCTACGTCATGCACAAAACCTCCACACTCACACACACTGCCTCTGCTCTGCAGACCCCACTGCCTTCTGCTGCGTCACCTCAGCAGCTAGGATGTGCCGGGGCTGGGGTGCTCAGTGAGGTGGCCAGACAGGTCTTTCTCTTGCAGGAAAAACCTTCAGGTTTCTGCCAGGTATCCACAATCCACCAGCTTCGCCCATGGGCACCAGGGCCCAGATGCCTCTGCCTTGCCAAGCTAGCTTGCAGACCACAGGCAGGGGCCAGACAGAGATGAGACTGAAGCCAGACCACCGTTTACCCTGGCAGGACCTTGAGGTTAGCCCCAGAGAAGATGGGTGCTCCGAAGACCAGGGTGGGGGGCCCACAGCAGCCAATGATGCATCAGGAAGGAAACCCAGAGACCAACTTGGTCTAAACTTGCTTCCTATGAGAAGACTGCACCCTCGAAGGGACTATGCCTTGTCCAGGGTCACAGTGAACTTTTCCTGCCTCCGTTCTCCAAGGCTGAGGGAAGTCTGAGTATCTGCCCAAGCTTATTTCCCACAGCTCTGCTGCACAGAGATGCAGCATGCTGTCCTGGGAAGAGCCCAGCCTTTGAGGCAAGACAGTAACTGGAATCTTGGCTCAGCCCCTCACTAGCCTCATTCAGCTTTGCTACTCTCTGACCCTCAGTTCCCTCTTCTGTGAAAAGGGGATAAAGTGAATACTCGCCTTACAGGGGTGCTGTCAGGCTTAAAGGAGACTCCTTGGGGAAAGACGCTGGCTCCTAGAAGGCCCCCAGTAAAGATCCTCCCTCTGCCCTCCACCTCCTCACCAGTTCCTACACCCCAGGCTTCTTCTCAGTCTCAGGCCCTCTGCTCTCACTATTTTCCCCACCTCTTCAGTGCTACTATTTTTAAGATGGAATTCTAGGAGCATCTGCTCCAGAAGCCTTCCCCAAGCACTTCAGCAACTAGGGTCTCACCCTTCTTTCACTGCACATCAAATTTCCTGGGCCCTATTTCCGTGGCCATGACCCCCAGCAACCCACCTGAAACCGGCTGAGAGAAGTGATATTTCTGCAAAAGCTTCAGAAGGAAAGAAAGCCCCTCCAACCTATTGCTTTAAGCTCTATCCTTAGTTCAGGCCAGATGGACTTGGGACCACCTTGGTGCTGCTCTTGACAAATCACCTCTTTTTGCTGAGGAAGACTGGCCCTGAGCTAACATCTGTGCCCATCTTCCTCTACTTTATATGTGGGATGCCTACCACAGCATGGGGTGCCAAGCGGTGCCATGTCCGCACCCGGGATCCGAACCGGCGAACCCTGGGCCGCTGAAGCAGAATGTGCGCACTTAACCACTGCACCACCAGGCCAGCCCCTGAAACATCTTTTAGATCCAAATGCTAAAAGAAGTCTTGTTTCTCTAAGGAACTAGCAAGCCTTTTCCAAAATAAGAACCAACATCTATCATGTTTCCCTTTTTGCCTCGGCTGCCAGGAAGCTCCAAGCTGACTATGAAGCTCAACCACTGCAACTCTGCTGACCCTTGTGGCTGAAATACCAGTATTTTTTTAACCCTAAGTCTTGATTTTTCTTTTTACCCTTTATGGCATTATTTGTATCCTGAATTGCCTCAAATCTGCATCAAGTTGGGTAGAGTATGAATAGTGAGAGGCATCACATGGTTTAACTCAGCACATGTGGTCACTGTGGATGGGTGGGTTAAGGCTTGAGTTCAGATTTCCCAGGCACTCCCACCCTCCCAAGATGACCCCCACAAGTCTTTACCTGGATGGGAAAGTAGTCTCGAAAGTAGCGCCACATAGCCCAGTTTCGGACCCACTGTGACCTCCTGCCACCTTCCAGGGAACAAAACACAGTGTTGGGAATGGGGGGGAGGGACAGGTGATGTTTGGGCAAGGGAGACAAGACAGAGCCAGCGTGAACCCTGAGGTAGGTGACTATTGCCCTCGGCAGCATCTCCCCCTCCCTCCGGGCCCCTTTCCACGCTCGTTCTCTCATGTTCTGCAAACCCTTGACTGAGCGTGAGGTCCTATGAGGGCAGGACAGTGCCCTCTGAGTTTTTTACCACCCCACCCCCATCACCACACCCTGGCCTGGTGCTCTTCACACAGTAAAAGGGCAGCTTGTGTAGGAAGGACCGTCCCAAGGGCAGGGGGGCGTGGACAGGGGACCTCTGCTCTCACCTTTCTTGGGCGTGTTCCAGTCGAACACCAGCCAGGTGAAGTAGAGCACGGCGATGAGCCAGCAATCAGTGCAGAACGTGTATAGGAGGATGACACTGCAGGACACTCCTGTGGGGGAGGCAGACAGCCACGGATCAGGAAGCGTGGGCCTCAGTCTCCCCTCTGGGCAAAGGTTCTTGGAGTGAGTGAGTGTTTACAGTGGCACTAAGCTAGGCACAGCTGGGGGCCATGGGCAGGGGACCCCCAGCCCCGGCCTGGGGAGGAGCGCGCTGCCAGGGACAGGAGCCTCATCTCCTAATGCTGATGGGCTGGCTGCCCTGGCGCTGAGGGCACACGGGCTCCCTGTGGTCTGGGCAGCAGTGTGGAGGAGCAGACTCCAGCTTCTTGTGAAGCTGTCCTCAGAGCTGTCCTTTCCGCCCCCTCCTTGTGCGTCTGTCTCCCCACCCCCGTACCTGGCACAGTTCCTGTGGACAAGGGGAGGGACCTAACCAGTGCCCCCCCATCTCAGGACTTGGGCTGAACCACTGTCTCAAGTGTGTAGCAGAGGGACTTCCACCCCATTCTAGAGACAAGAACAGTGAGGCTTGAGGGGGAGATAACTTCCCCAAGGTCACCCAGCAGGACAGGGGCAGAGCCAGGATTCAAACCCAAGTCTGACTGTTAAGTCCCTAATCTGCCCAGGCTTTATAAACTCACCAAATATTAGAAGCCCTGTTCTGCCACTGGAGGGACCTGAGACTGGTGGTCGGGGTGGGGCAGGGGTTCCCACCCCAGAACAGGGGCTGGCCCCTTCCAACACAGCAGAGTGCCCGGCAGGCCCAGACCAAAGCCCAGAGCCCATCAGCCCCCTCTCAAAAACCCCAGCAGGACCTTGGAAGACTCCCTGGGGCCAGCTCCCCGTGGTCACTTTGCTCTGGGCCTCCCAGCACTAAAAGGAAGGAGGTCTGTGCCAAACCTGCCTTGCCTCGTGGCTCCCTGCAGATGCCCTCTGCAGGCAGTCCACCTTCCCGGTTTTTACCCAGCCTTCAACGCCTCGCTCAGCCCTCCTCTCTTCCAGAACTGTTCTCTAATATCATACTGTCCTCCCGAGTGGATCTCTCACCTCTGAACTCCCCACACGAGGGGGGCCACATCTTCTTTGCTCCCTGGCACTCAGTACAGGGCCAGGGGCAGCAGGTACTCATGCCTGGTGGAAGTGTGGCCTGCGTCCAGCACCCTCCCCACTGCCCAGGGAGGGAAGCCAAGCCCTGCCACGCCCCCCACCTCTGCTGGGCACTGTGCTGGTCATGGGTGCTCAAGGGCTGCCTGGCCCTGCATTCCGCTCTGGTCTGCCCCCCAGGCTGAGCCTCCTCTGGTTTCCTGAGGGAGAGGGGAAGGCCAGACACAGACTCTCCATGGGCCTAAGGGCAGCAAAATGGTAGTCACTTGTTGTCCACGATCCAGTCCTGTTCTAGCCTCTCCCCAAGGGAGTGAAAAGTGGCACGACTATCTTGGGAGGGGCAGTGAACAGAGAGTGACCAGGTGTCCAGTTCTTCAGGACCAGATAAGGAGTGTGACATCACTGATAAGGATGATGAATCTCTAGAGAAGCATTTGCAGCCTACAAAAACCTGTGAAAGGCAAACTGTGAAGTACTTAAGGCTGCTTGGTGAATGGCTATGTCTAAGTTAAGGACGCTTACAAAGTCATTCACGTTGTTGAGCAGTTTGCCTCTGGTCCCCTTTCTTAGGTCTGCAAAAAAGGTCACTCTAGGCCCCTAGACTCCACAGGTGTCCAAGCTCCTTCGGAGGCTAGGTGGATGCTCCAGGTGGGCCTGGGCGGGGCTGCAAGGCTCAGGCTCAGGGCTGAGCAGCCCAGAAGCCTCGCTGGTGTCAAACCCCTAACTTTCTTGGTGGGTAGAGCGACCAGAGCGGGCTGAGCCCCAGGGCCCACTGCCTAGGCATCTGGGCTCTCTGGGAAGGCAGGCATCCCTACCTACCCGTCCTCACACTGGTGCTAAGGTGCCCTGGATGGGGGAAAAACAAACAGGGAGCCCGAGACTGCATCCAAGATGGGGACCTTCTCACCTGGGGGCCCACTCCCCAAACCCTCCGTATCCACAGCCCCTCTCGCTGCACTTGCCATCTGGCTCCTCATTGTCTGCCTCCCCGTGAGACTCCTTCCAGCAGACAGCCCTTCATCCCGAGCTCCTCAGGAGCTGGAAGCGGGGCACGTTAACCTCTCCAGCCCCAGCAACCAACACAGGAAAGATTTATTGAGCAAAAAAATGAACTAAACCCATCAAACAACCTTCCTTTCTCAGAGCCTAACCCCTGCCCTTTGAACAATGGGCTCCCACTCCACCCTCGTGGGGCTGCAGCAGCAACTACCGCCACTGGGTCCAGGAGAGGCAAACACCTTGTGGACCCGGCTGGCTCCCAATGGGGACAGTTCAGGACCACCTTCACAATCATCTCCTCCCCACACACCATGGGGAAGTCTGGGACTCAAAACTCTGATCCCCAAGGCCCGTCAGCCGGGCGGCGTGTGGCTCGCTCAGTGGCAGGGAGGCAGCAGTGGGCCCGTGAAGAGCATGGATGCGTTCTTCCAGGAGGCCCCGGCCCTGCCACTCCCTGGCCAGGCCCATCCCTGAGCCTCGATTTCCTTACGGGGTGTTGGGAAGATTACAAGAGACGAGAAGAGGACGTGACACACTGCTAAGTGTCCCATCTGGGGATCTGTGGTCTTGGACAGGAGAAAAAATGACATCTTAATCTACACCCATCTCTTCTGGAAATCTATTAGTATTTCCTTCCTTTACAAATGTAACAGAGCACAGCAGTATAGCAGTACCTGCTGACTGTGACATCGACAGAAAACAACACATCACATTTACAGCAGTCGCAGACAGCTTGAAAAATCACTTATTCTCATCATTACTTAAGAATTATGATAATGATTACGCCTGCTGCTGAGTCTTTTTATTTAATGCACTAATAAAAAAGCATGTGTTACTATATATCTAACTCAACTTCTTAATGTGTGCATGTTTATATTTCAGTATCATTGGGTTACTCTGGAATCCAATGTATTTTGTATCACACATTTAAGAACACTGAGAAAGGTTTATAGCCTTTACCAGAATACCAGAGGGTCCCATGGCCCAAAAATAGTGAAGGGTCACTCTGTTCCAGAGGGAGGCCGACTGGCCCACAGCAGCCTTTGCAACACCAGGCAAACCTCAGACAGCAGATCTGGGTGGTGGTGGGAGGGAGCGGCTGGGCTGCTCAGGGCAATAATCTCAGCAGCAGCACGGGAGTCCTGTCAGCCCAACCAGGCTTGGCTCCCTCTAAGAAAGGGCGTTGGGAAGATGCTGAACCAGTTTCTGGGCTGTGGTTGGGCTTGGTGGATTGTTAACCTACAGCAGGGGGCCAGACCCGGTCGTGTGCTGCATGGTTGGGGTTCTACCAGCTGCTCAGCTCCCCAACAGCCAAGTTCTGACCCACTAAGACAGGGGTAGTGGTGGCTTCTCAGTGCCAACGGGGACTAAGGGAGCTGGTGCAGCAGCCTAGGCAGGGGGCTGGGAGGCTGGAGTCCATGGGGTCTTGTCCTGGCCCCACCACATGCTTCTCATGTGATTCTAGGCAAGGCTCTGCCCTTACTGCTCCCTATCTGACAATGGAGGGGGCTGCACTGTGCTCTCGACCCCAGGATTCTAATAGGTGACTGAATGCAGGACAAATTGGGGGTCTGAGCCCTGAGGGAGCCAGACTAACCTGCTCTGTTCTCCAGACCAGTGTTTATCTTTTTGAGGCCATAAAAATCTGAGGATAGCAATTGCTCTTCACCCCAGAAAAATGTGGACATACTCTCATCAATAATTCTGCACCTAATTTTAGGGGTTCATGGACCCCCCCCCCCCCGACTAGAGCCCACTCTTGGGCCTAAAGGTGAAGACTGGCTGGTTCAGACCAGCTCCACTCATTCTGGGCTCCTCGGCAAGCGCTGTGGGCTTCCACTCAATTCCCAACTATGCCACTTAATGAGCTTCACAGTCTCAGAGTCACTGGACCTCCACCAGTTTGCATTTCCTCACCTGGGAAGAGGGAAGTCAAGAAAAGCCAAGTCCAGTGCCTGGTCCATGGTGGGGCTTGAGAAATAGCACCCCTGGCCCATGCCTCTGCCCTGCAAAGGGCGGGAGGGCAGCACAGAGCTGCCCTGGCAGTGGGGTCTCAGAGGCCCCCAGGCCTAGTGGAAGGACGGCTGCTCAGCAAGGCCTTAGTGACTCCTGGTGGTCCCCATTGGGCTGGACAATCCTGAGGGGTGGGCTGCCCACAGCACTGGAACAAGCAGGTCTGTCTGCCCCAAAGTGCTGGGGAGGCCACCTACTCTGCTGAGGACACAGGGGCCTCAGGAAGAGAAGAGGCTGCTGGGAGAGCAGGGGTGGGCCCAGGCACAGGCCTGACCCTCCTCCCAGACAATCCCTGACGTCCTGACCCTGGTCTGGATGGCAACCCCGGGAATGAGGCACCAAGCCAGAACTGTCGGCAGGTACTGCTAATGTTACTGTGCTCTGTTCTATATGTAAAGAAGGAAATACTAAATTTTCAAACAAAATGGGCAAAGATTAAGATGTCATTTTCTTTCCCATTCTGAGTCCAACCAGAGCACTGGGTGGGAGATGCTGAGAGAAGGGGGTAAACACTAATCGGGCCGTGGGAAGCAGCTGGGGACGGTGTTCCATGGAGGGTGGGTGAGGGGTGGGAGCGGGATCTAAGGGCACCTCTCCCGGCAGCTCCCATGTCATGGGGGCCCACCACGACCAGGCCCTGTGCTTCTTTTCTTCAATCCCCACAAATGCCATATGAAGTCGGCAGCATTTTCCTTCCACTTGAAACAAGGAAACTAACTTCCAGAGAGCTCAGGGAAGCCGTGGAAGGTCACAGAGCTGGTCTGTGATGGAGTCGGGCACCACAGCCCCTGAGACAAAGAAGCACACCTGCTGGGAAATCTTCGTCGGTAGGCAGGGTGGCACGGGGGAAATGCACAGGCTTTGGGGGTCCTACAGACCTGGATTCAAACCAGTGTGACTAGGACAAGTTACTTAGCTTCTCTATGTGTAAAATGGGAACACACCACCAGCTCCCACGGAATCACACTGACCCTGGCCCTCGGAGCCCTGGCTTACCCATCACGAGGAAGGTCAGGACCCACTGCAGCACCGAGATGACCTGTAGCTGCTTTTCCACCTGGGACCTGTTGAGCCAACTGATGGAGAAGAGGTCCTGGAGGGCGGAGAGGATGCTGGAGCCAGTGCCTGCAGCAGAGGGGAGCGTCAGCCTCCTGCCACCCTTGCCTCCAGCCTTAGAGTCCCCGATACCTACCCACCTCCCACAGGCACCTTCCCAGGTGTGACAGGAGCCTGGGCCACAAAATCAGGCAGCCCTGGGTTCGAATCCTAGCCCGGCCACCCAACAGCTTTGTAATTCTGGGCTGTTCACATGCTTCCCTGTGCCCCAGTTTCTATATATACCCAATGCGAATGGTGTCCCCGCCTAGGGTCATTTGGAAACCAAATGAGGTATCCAAAGGGCCCAGGGAGAGCTCTCCATAATTGCCAGTTCTCTTCCCTCCCCTCCACCCCAATCAAACTCCTGTCCTCATTCTTTATCTGGACCCAGTACAAATATTTAATCTTTGCTATGTGTGTCTGTGAGGCCAAGGACAGAGGTTCAACATCCCATGTGCAATGTTTTTTTCTCCAAGTGTACTTTGAGCACCCCCAATCCCTGCCCCACCCCTCTTATCGCCAGGGCTGACACCCTGCCCCAGGGTGCTGAGCCCTTGTGCCTCCACCCCAACACCATCAATATCACCACCACGACCACCTTCAGAGAGAGCGACACTTTGAGCTTCATCTCAGTGCCCAAAGTTTGCAGCCCAGAGAGGAATCAGGCAGGGGCTTTGCTTCCCCAAAGGACCCAGTGGCCAGGGAACTTTGGGAAGCCTGGGGCACGGAGGCTGCAATTATGGTTGCTACCAAGCAAGTGCCAAGCCTAGAAGTTAGCACAAGATGTGCCCATTTAACTGGCTCTGTGCCTGTGCCCCCAGGATGACGCCCTGGACTCCAGCGGCTGATGAGCAGTGGGACCAGAAGGCCTGGTGACTGCAGAAGAAGCAGCACCGGGGAACAGCACGGGCAAGGCCCTTAGTCCATACCCCGTTCCTCCTGGCAGCTGGACCAAAGGAGCAGGCCACTCCAAACGCCCCCATCTGCTGAGCCCTAACTGCACGCTCCTCACTCATCACATCTTCACTGACTGCCCAGTGTGTGCCAGGCAGACACTCCTTCACACCACCCACTCTGCAAGGCCCCAAGCACGCGAGTCACAGTCTTGTCCTTGAGGGTCTCATGACCTTTCACCCTGGCCTACTGCTGGGAGGGGACGGGGCAGGAGCTTCGGGGCTTACACTCAAGCCTTTGCGTTTCTTCAAAATCTGCAGAGCAACAAGGTCGCAGCAGAGTTTAGAAAGGAAATAACCCTTGCTTTGACTTTTAGGAGGCACATAGATAATGGCAGGCCTCAAGGCAGACAGGCCCGTCCTGTCCCCTTTAGCTGGTCTAACAGATCAGAGGGAAGGGGCCTGGTACAGCAGAGGAGCCAGACTCAGGTTCAAACCCTGGTTCCACACATTATGTGACCCCAGGCAAGACTGCGAGGACTCACGGCCGTGTCCCCAGGGCATGGCCTGGGTCTGATCCACTTCTGGGTCCCCAGTGGCCTGCCAGGGCCTGGCCCAGAATGAACACTCAGAAAGGTTTGCTGAGCGAGAGGAAGGGCAGGTCTCTGCTCAGGCAATTCCTCAGGCCCCTGGGCTCCCTCCCCGCAGGGCTGGGTGACAGGTATGCTGCCCACGTGTCTGTGAAGCTTTGGGGCACAAAGCACTTCCCTAGGCACCCTGATTCCCCACCAGGCCTGTGAGTTTGGCATCATCACTCCCATTTTGACAGTGATAAAGGCGGCTCAGGGAAGTGACATGGCCAAGGTCACTCAGCCAGAGGGAGGCAGAACTGGACTCAGTTCAGGTCCAAATTCCAGTCCTGTGTTCCATCCCTATGCTGCAGGTCCCCCCAGGTTTCTTCTCTCTTCTCCGCACAAGACAGTGGGGAAAGGCTGGGGGGAAGACAGGGGAAAATGAATGACCTGTTTTCCTTCAGAGTGGTGGGCTAGGAGCAGGCATCCTGTGCAGGGAGTGGCAGCAAGCCTTGGGGTTCCAGTCCCAGTTCTGCCACTGACTCGTGTGTTACCTCAGCCAAGTCACTTCACCTCTCTGGGCTTCAGTTTCCCCATCTATAAAATGGGGGTAGGAAGGATGAACTCTACAACCTCTTCGACTGCTGGGACTCTGGTGTCCACCCTCCTGAGGGTATACCTAGAGGCTTGCCATCTTGCAACAGCCCTGATCCAGGTGCCCAGCAGACGGTAAGTGGAGGTTCAGTTGAACACCCCTAGGCCACTGCTAGACCTCACCACCCAGCTGTCAGTACCTCTCTGCCCCAGCTGTGGCTGGGAGGGGTCCAGCAGAAGTTGGCATGGATGCCAGTGCTGCAATCAGATGCCGCCACTGCTACCACCTTCACACCCAGCCTGTCTCCAAGTCCTGGGTGGGGCCAGCAGGAGCCTCAGCATCCAGCCGAGTCTCAGCTCCAACCTGCTCCCTTGGCACCCTGCCCCCTCTGTGCCAGTCCCACTGCGGCCGGTGTCTATTTACTTGGTCACCCTCCTCTGCCAGCAACTCCTGGGTGCCGGGGCTGGTACCTGGTTCATCCATGTGCCCAGAGCCCTGCCCAGAGTCTGGTGAGAGAAGGAGCTCATAGAGGTTTACTGCACGAACGAACAAACCCACAAGCCCCAGAGGCAGGTGAAGGCCTGGATGGCCAAGTCAGACTGAGCTGCCCGACAGGAAGGCCCCTGCCCCATCCCTGAGGCCACCGGAGATGGGGTCGCGGAGAGAGCCTCTCCGCCCTCCCTGAGCACGAGTTTCCCCAGCTGTGATGAGAATACAAGTCACTACCTACAGGTGTCTTTTTTTCATGGAGGGAAAGACGACAGGCCACAGAGTAACTTTGCTAGTCCTGTGAAGAAAAGTTTCCAATGTCCAATGAAAACAGCTGCTCCTGGGCACCCTTTAATTTACACAGCTCATCTGCTCCTAGACTTAGGGAGGGCGGAGGCAGTGGAGCTGCCAGGGGCCCCAGAGCAGCTCTCTTACTCCCACGAAGGAATCCCCTCCTGTCACTGTCCCACAGCACTCCCTATGAAGTAGACAAGGCAGGCTTGGGCAAGCCCATTTCACAGAGATGGAAACTGAGGAGAGGAGAAACCACCTGCCTGAGGGCAGGATCCAGGGGAGCCGGGAGTCAAGGCAGGTATTTGGGCTCTGAGTCCCATCATTTCCATGAAGCCACGCTACTGAGGGCTGACCCCGCGACACAAGCCAGTCCACACCCAGACTTCAGGAACACACTCCCGGCTTGGGGGGCTGACTGCTCTGCCCTAAACTGTGCCTCAGGTCTGGTGGGGACATCCTCCTGCAGACTGGTGTGCAAGGAATGTGAGCCCCCCACCACAGGCTCCCACAAGTCCAGCTCCTGCTATGAGGGCGAAGCCAGAGCCGCCCGCAGCAGTGGGCCAGACCACCCTCCGTCCCAGGGCCCAGCTCGGGGTGGGGGTGGGTGTCTCTGGACGCCTGCCTGCCCAACAGCTGATAGCAGGGTGGCCAGGAAGGTGGCACCTAGGGCTGACGAAACCAGGGTTTCCTGGGCTTCCTCTGAGGGGGCACAGTCTGAGCTCTAATCACCTTAATCTGAGAAAGGGCCCTGGGCCAGCTCTGCCCCTACGTGGCTCTGTGACCTTGAGCAAGTCGCTCAGCCTCTCTCAGCTTCAGTTTTCTCATCTGCAAAATGAGAATAGTCCCCACCTCACAGGGTTGTTGCGAAGATTAAATGAAAAACATGTGTGTCAGGTGCCTTTGGCATTCGTTAGGGGATTAAACGGTAGCCAGCGCCATTGCTTCTCCCATCGAACAGAGTGGGAAGGGGTGTAATGAGCAGACATAGCATTATGTGTTTGGAGAAGAGAGAGCAGAGTGAGGGTGGTGGCAGGGGGGCTCCGAGGAAGCAACGAGGCCCTGAAGACAAGACGTGGGAGGCGAAGGGGAGGAGAGTGGGCATTGTGATTAAGGGGACAAACTCAGGGAGTTAGAAAGAGGCAGGCCCCAACACAGAACACTCAAAGCAATGGGGGTTCACGTCTACCCAAACCAGAAGCTGAGAAAAGAGGAGCTGGAAAGGGGTCGAAAAGCGGCCTTCTGGAGGAGGTGGGCAGGACAGAGACAAGACTTGAAGCAAGGAGCACTTAGGAGGCGCCACGCACTGCACTAGCCACCAGGGAAATAGCACCAACCTGGCAGATGAAGCCTCACCTGTTAGGGGCTTAGGTAAAGGTAGGGTGTGACGTCAGGCAGCGATGAGCACCATGGAGAAAAATAACTTGAGGTAATGAGCTCGAGAGAGGAGAAAGGGTACTCTGACCCGTGCATGGAGAGGAGGCACTGAGCAAGGCTGGCCTCCACCGGGAGGCAGGGGCACACACGGGCAGCCATGGGTCATACCCCCGGATGGCCTGCACGGCTTCCTCCACCCACCTACCTTCACCACCAGCATCACCAGGAGGGGGTGCGCCAGCCTGGAGAAGGCGCAGAGGACAGGAGGCTGGGCATCAGGAGAACCTGGCCCCTAACTCACAGGAAGTACAGCCTTGGTGAGTCACTTCCTGTGCAAGCCTCAATTTCCTCATCTGGAGAGTTGAGCTAATACCTACCTCGCCAGATTGTTGTGAGAATTAAATGAGATAACATATAGGCAAGAGCTTCACAAAGAGTAAAGACCTGCATGAATGCCGGAAAGTTATCAAGCGGGCCTCAGTGTTCTCTCCTGTCTAATGGGTACAACACCCTCCGTCCTGCCTTGGAGCAGAGGCGTTGGCGCCAGCAGACTTGGGATTCCAACCCTGGCTCTGACTCTTACCTGCTGTGAGACTGGGAAAGCCACCTCCCCTGTCTGAGACTCAGTGTCCTCCTTAGTCATGATCCAGGATCGTCGCGAGGAATCTAAACAACTTATGGAAGAGGGACAAAGAGAGTCTGGCACATCTGCCAGAGAGCTAGAAAGATGCCAGTGAGGTCACAGAGATGTGGGCAGCCTGTAGGGGCTCCTTGAGTGGGGAAGTCATCCTGGTCATGTCCCCACCCCCA